CCCGGACAGCGGCTTCTCCGTCGCCGTCCGGGCCCGGAACGAGCTCGAGGAGTGGCAGCCGTGGAGCCTCCCCGCGGCCCTGCGGACGCTGGCCCCGATCACCCTCGAGCCCAGCCGCTTCGGGGAGCACTACATCAGCCTGTTTTGGCATCGCCTGGCGCCGGGCCGGCGCTCCGCGGCGGCCCGCGACGCCGCGCGGTACGCGGACCTCCAACACAAATACCGCGCCCTCACCCCGATCGACCCCGCCGCCGGGCCCCAACCCAGCGAACTCACCACCGAGGCCTACGCGGCGCTGCTCGCCGAGCTCAAGGAGATGCGCGACCTCAAACAACGCCTGAAGGCCCACAAACAGTCCTTGTGTGATGGCAAACTCGCCCCCCTGACGGATCCGCAGACCCCTCTGAGGGGTTATCTCCTGCGCGTGGTGGAGGAGCACGGGCGGTACACGGATTACCCCCTGCGAACCTCCCCCGACGGCGGGGAGGCCGCCTTCACGGTGACCGGGCTCGCGCCGAACCACATGTACGTCTGTCTTCTCTGCCCGCGCTATTACGAGGCGCGGAAGGAGGGCGAAGAAGAGGAAGACCCCCTCCCCCTCCCACCCCCACCCCCACAAGACGAAGAAGAACGGGAAGGCGAAGGCGACCGAGAGGCCCACGGCGAGCTCGAAGAGGCCGACCTGAAGCAGGCCCCGGCCTTGGATTGCTATGCGGGGAAGGGGCTGATGTGGGGGGAGTGGACGCAGCCGCTGAAGTTCATGACCCAGAACCTGATCCAGCTGCAGATCACCTACATGGGGGAATCGTTCGTGGAGATTGAGTGGCTTCGGATGGACCACAAGCCCCTCTCGGCGCTTGACGTGGAGGACACCCTGACCTGCGGCCCGCTCTCCGACGAGGTCCACGTCTACCAGGTCCGCATCGAGCACGAGGACGTCGAGACAGGGGCGCTGCTGACGGAGCTGCGGGATATGAAGGCGTGCAATGCGTACGGCATCGACGGACTTCGGCCCGATACGAAGTACACCATCGCCGTGCGGGAGTGGGACGCCAAGGGGGATTGGGGCCTGTGGTGTACGCCGCGGACCTGCACCACGCAGCCCGGGACCTTCACCGTCGTGCATGACGTGGATGAGGGCGCGGCGTGGATCTCGTGGGGCCAGAAATCACGCCGGGTCGACTACAACAACGACATGCACGTGCTCCAGAACGATGTCCAAATCACCGCGTTTTACCTTCGCGTGGAGGAGATCCCGGAGGGGGCTGAGGAGGCGGGGAACCTCCCCGCGGCCGCCACGGCACCCCCCGCCGCGGACGACCCCGAGGCCGTCTCGCGTGAGCAGTCCTTGGGCTGGCTCCTCCAGGGCAACATGCTGTCGCTGACGATCGATGGGTCGCAGGAGGCCGAGGCCGAGGCCGAGGCGGACGTCCCGCCGGAGTACCTCGCCGAGTTCGACGGGCTGCGGGAAAACGGCCTCTACTACCTGCTCAAGCGCTTCGACGCCTCGACGACCCAATTCCAGCTCGCCGGGCTTCGCTGCGATCGGTTTTACCGGGTGCAGACGCTCTCCGAGGCGGTGGGCCGGCGGTTTGGGGTTTGGAGCGCGGCGAACTACTTCGCCTCGATGCCGAAGCTCACGCTGCGGTGCGATTGGGTTGACGAGCAGTACGTCGACCTGAGCTGGGCGCGGCCCTCGCAGCGCCCGCATCCCCTTCTCGACATGGACGCGGTTTTTGTCGGGACGCACCTCTCCGCGGCCTACCAACTCGAGGCCGGCCAGCGCGCGAGCTCGCCCGTCAAGCCCGTGAACGGCAGCGCCACGCCTCACGACGATGCCCTGCCGGCGGCGCCGTACGCGCTCCTGAGCGATCTGCCGGCCTGCCAGACGACCTTTCGGCTCTGCGGGCTCTCGCTGAACACCGTCTACGCCGCGCGCGTGCGCTCCTT